CGGGTCCCAGCTGCCCGCCAGATGTGTACTGCCGGACCGCGGGAGGACTGAGCTCTGGCCCAGCCGCTGCAGACCCGCAGGGCAGGCGGGGTGAGAGCGAAGAAGGGGTGGCAGGGGGTAAGGGGAGTGGCAGAGTCCCCCACTGTCTGCGCTCCGCAGGCTCCCAGATTGCCTTCACTTGTGTAACAGAAGCTGGTAGCCATCCGCCCAGAGGGGGCGCCGTTTTCTGATTCCCACAGAAGTGCGGTATGGACCTGCAGGGGGACCTCAGCAAAACAGAGCTGGGTCCACGGGGTGGGCCCCGGGCCAGGAGACATCCACGCGACCGTCTGCAGCGGGAAAGAGAACCGGCCTTGAGGGCTTTAACCTTCTGAGATACCCAACCCTCGACTTCAGACGCTCCAACACACACACACACACACACACACACCCTCCCGGCGCTCTCTTCCTGTCCTGGGTGGGGTGTGCTTTCCAGGAGAGAAACTGAGGCACAGCAGGACGGAACTAACCGTTAGTAGAGCCATCCTCTGCGTCTTGTCTGGAGCAGAGAAGTTGACCTAAGAAGGCCTCACCCCTAAGCTCCAATTAAGGTCCCTGGACAGAGGACAACCCCAGGGAACCGCCCTTTCGACCTGCCCGCCGTCCCCACCCCCGGCCGCTTCCCGGACTCGGGAGCAATCAGCTGCTGCGATGTTGTAATTGGCGGTGTGGGCCTACCTAGCCGAGGACCAGGGGGCAGCCGAGGGGCTTAATTGCAGGGCTTTCGGGGATCCCTTCCCCGGAAACTGGGAGTTGGGGGGCTTAAACCCCAGCGAGAATGCAGGAGGAGGAGGAGGGGAACCTCCCCGGGAGCTGGAGGGTGGGGGGAGGAGGAAGATTCCAAACTCCCCACCCCAACCCCAAAAGTCCTGGTTAGTCTTGTCCGAGTCTCCTCCCTCGTCCTGACACCCCCCTCCCTCTCCTCTCTCTGCCACCCCCGTCACCTCCTCCCCTTCCCATATCCCTAAGGCGCTCCCACCCTGGGGAAGAATGTGCCCTACTAGCGCACTCTTGCCATGGTAACGGCACACCCCCACCCCCGCGCACCGCAGCAGCCCGGCCTGGCCCGAAGGGCGGCGAGAAGAGGCGGGGGGCGCCTCCCAGCCCTACGGACACACCTCGACTGCCCTGGTTGCCACGGCAACCGGGGGCGTTCCGAAGTGCGCAACCGCGAAGTGGCAAAGGGCTCTGCTCGGCTCGCGATCCCTCGCGCCTCTAATTCACCAGCAGAGGACCCTGGCTCCTGCAGGGGACCCCCCCCCCCCCCCCCCCAGCTTCCAGGACAGAGTCCAGGGAGGGATCATGGGGTGTTACAGCTTCGACGCTCTGCAAGCCTAGGGAGCAAAAGAGAGCTGGAGAGCCCCAGGGAGCCTGGAACCTGAAAAGGAATCTCCCCTTGTCCCCAAGAGCCCGTCCTCCCCTCGCAGCAGAGCCCGAGGGGGGCGCTGGCAGCAGGAAGCTGGGGTAGGGCCCGGAGGCGCGCAGGCCCAACAGCGGAGCGGTGATTACAGGGACCTGTCCCTCCCGCCCCCGGCTCCCACTCTCATTAAGTCATTTTTTCCCCTGTTGGAAAGTCCCCGCGCCTTGAGCGCAGGGGTTGGGGCGACCGCAGGCAGCTGCCGGCAACCACATAAGAAGTGGGAGTGGGAGGGGAGGAGGGGGACCGCGACTAGGGCCTGGCCAAACTCCAATGTGGAAGGCCCCCTGCCAGGGGCTAGCTGGGGGCACCTTAATTCGGGGAAGGAGGGGTAGGGTGAGGATACCCCTGACCTTGCTTCTCACCCTCCAGGGCCCTCCTACAACAGCCACCAAAGTCTACCTTTGCCTCTCTCTTTTTGCCAACCCTAGTAGGGCCTTGGGAGGTTTGGATTTCTGATCTCCACACTAAGCTGGCTGCTCCCCTCTGACCTTGAACCCACTGCTGCCTGCTGATCTGTCCACCACCCTCATTCTGCCATTTCCTCCAATTTCTCCCGTTGGGACCTTCCAAGTCCCACTAGACCAAACTACGCTTTCCTTCGGCAAGATGACACAGTGTCCATCAAGGTGAAAGGTGTTGAGGGTGGAGTGGGTCCTCTTCTCCTCTGAATGTTCTCTGGTCCACCTTCTGTTCCCATTTCCAAATCTCAGCCACGGTCCTCTCTGAGCTGTTGGACAGTTCTTTCATCTACCTCCCCTGTTCCACTTTATTTCAGCCCATTTCCCCTATTTGCAATCAGTATATTGATTCCCGCCTCGCCCTTCAGCCAGTATGCATAAGCACAATGCCTCTGGAGCCCCATTTCATCATCTCCACATCTCCCTTTGGGCCCTTCCCAAATTCCACACATCCCTGCCTGTTCGATTATGGGATCCAGCTTCGGTCTCAGGACTCTAGTCAGCTTCTGGCCCAGACAGAGGATGGAGGTGGGCAACACCCTGTTTGTTCCTTCCGCAACTTTCCCTGTCTTCCTTCACATGTCAGACTAGCTTATATCAGATCACTATGACTCAGCTGGTCTGGTGTCCAGCCCCCTGCCACACCTCACCGCCCACCCTTCCTTCTAGAGGCAGCATGCTCTCCAAAGTTACACCTCCTGCCTCCAAATTCCAACCCTGATCCTATATCGCCCATTTTCAGTCTCTCCTCCCCCAGCTCTGTCTTTCTTAAGCATGGGAGGCAGAGGAGGATCGGGCCAAAGCTTATGCTGTAGTGGACACTGCTGGGGGAGGAAGTGTCCACCCCCTAGTCCTCCATTCCCCATGTGCCACCATTACCCCCCTTCCCTCCTCCTCCTCCTCCTCCTCCTCAGGATGGTATGGCAGGGAACCCAGCCCCCACAGCTCTCCTGGGTGAACAAGAGGAAAGGAATGAGGCAGGTGTGTCTGGCTGCTCCTGCTTACCCCTCCTCCCTGGGGACTCTTACCTGCCTGCCTGCCTGCCTGTGGAGCTGTCTTTTGGGGGATGGTGAGAGAAACCCTGTATTCCATAGAGGCAGAAGAGCTGAGCATGTGAAAGGAAGCCATGCTGCCTTAGCATGTCTGGGAGCAGGCATTTGGAGGGGAAGGAGCTGAAGACAAGCTAGTGAGGTCAAATCTCCCAGCTGGTGGGCCTACAGGGGTCCATCCTTTCCTTCTTACCCTCCCCTAGGGGTAGGGAGACATGGGGCAGGGCTAGGGAAATATGGAGAATTTTTGTAGGCTGGCAATTGGGGAGAGGAATGACACTCTGTCCTTGTCCAGTTGGTCATGAAGGGCGGCATTCTGGGGTGAACTGAGGCAGACAACAGGATCCCCAACTGTGAGCAGGAGGAGGCCTGGAAGAAGAGGTGAAGCATTCTTTCCCTAAGATCCTGATCCCACCTTCCTCTCCACTCCCGCCCCCTCTTTGAGGATCTGTTCCAGAAAACATCAGATCTGAGAGCCAAGGAGACTGTGACACTGAACCAGCTCAGCACTTTTCACGGGGACATGGGGATGTGCTTGCTGAACTAAGGGCACCCTGAGTTGGGGATCTAGGGGCACAAGAGGTCCAGGAAGGATGCCTCCCTCCTCCACCCCAGCCTTAAATACCCCACCTCCCCTGCCCGGACTCAGAGAGACCAGAATCCAGACAGTGAGTCTCCTTGGCCCTCCCCCGCCACCCTTCTCCCAGCCGCACCTCCTAACCCCACCTGCTCCCTGGGGCACTGGGCTGGGTTGAGCTGGGTCTTGCCCAGGATTACTCCTCTCAGAGTGCCTCCTGTCTCTGCTGATGGGTGCTGCTGGGCACAGCCACTCGTCCTGGCTTGTGGCAGAAGGTTCAGATACAAGCCGGACTGCAAGAGCTCTGGCATCAAGGGCTCTTGATCCAGCCCCTTGTCAACATCCCCTGCCTCCACTCCATCCAGTCTGGGCCCCATCTCTGGGTGGGAAGACAGCTCCTAACTGGATCCACTGCTGCCAACGTGTCCTCCTTCCGCCAGTTCCCCATGCAGTAATCCAGGTGGGAATTAGACCATGACATTTGCCTGTACCTGCTTAAGACCCTGTGAAGATTTCCATTCCTCTTAAATGACATCCCAACTCCTTACCTTGACCTAGGACACAGATTATGACCCTCCCCCTGCACCCAGCTCTTCTCCTGCTAATCTATCCCTTGATTTCTTCACTCCAATCACACTGGCCTCTTTGCTATTCCTCATCAGAGCTTTTGCATTCCCATGGCTTCTGCCTGGAAAGCCCTTACCCTCAATCTGTGCATGGCTGTCCTTATCATGGGGCCCCCAGCAAGAGTATCACAACTCCAGACCAGTCAATGGCTTTATCTAAAGGAGCCCCACTCCTCCAAATCACTCTGCATCCAGCACCCACTTTATTTTCTTCATCGCACATAGCATTGCAATGTTTTGAAATGAACATCGTCTGAAATGAACCTGTTTACGTATTTACTTGTTTATTGTCCATCTCCCCCAGCCACAGTGTAAACTCCAAGAGGGCAGGTGCTGTCTCTCTCACTCACAAATGTATTCCCAGCACCCACCCTTCGTCCCCTAAAGAGTACCAGGCCACAAAGAGTGCAAAATAAATATCTGTTAATTGAACGATGAGGGGCAGAAGCCTGTCAGGGAGGGTATCTGGGCCTCTCTAGGATCTCTGCAGCTCCATTATGTCCATTTCTTCTTTTCAATCCTCTTCCCACTGCCCAGCAGCTTCCATTCATTCCCTCCCACTTCAGGGGAAGGGGTGAAGGATGAAAGGAGACAGGCGTGGGGTTGGCGGCTGACACTCGCCCCAGCCCTACTGAGCAGCCAGAGCTTGGAGCCCACAGAAGTGAGCGATGAGGTCTAGACTTTCCCCGCGATTACACACCTGAGGACCCTCAGAACTGTAAGGTTCCTATACGATCATGTGACTCCGCCTCCTTTCCCAGGAGCCAAGGCGACTCTGTCAAGGTCTCCAGCGGCAGAGGAAGGGCCAGTCTCAGGGAGGGGAGCCCCCCGCTACTTGCAGACGCTGACCCACTCCGTGATGCGGCACTCCTCACAGACCACGAAGCAGCACCAGTGGAAGCGGCAGTGGCAGCGCTCGCTGCGCGTCTGGCGCAGGATATTGTGGCCCCGGCCGCAGCACATGCTGCCGCAGCCGTCGGGGCCCGCGCTGCTCTTGTTGCACAGGCGGCCCACCGTGCCCGCCGAGTCCAGGCGCGGCTCGCGCTCGCAGAAGTCGGGCGACTTCTCGAAATAGACCAGGTCTGCAGGGCTGGCCCGGCGGCGAGGCCCGGGGCCGCCCGGGGCCGGAGAGGGAGCGCCCCCGGGACCCAGCTCCAGCTGGCCACTGTTGCGGTTGTGCGGCCTGATGAGGGTGGCGCGGTGGAAGCGGTTGCGCAGCAGCGCCCCCACCGCGCGGAACTCCGGAGTCACCTGCCAGCAGGTCTTGAGCTGGCAGCTGCCCGAGGTGCCGTGGCACTTGCACTTCCGCCGCATGTTCTCCATCACGGCCTGCAGAGGGAGGCGCGGTGAGAAGTGACCCAGGCCACCCCACTGCCCTCCTTCCAACACAAGACAACTGGTCTGAGAGAGCCAGAGGCTTTCTGAAACCAACTCCCATTGCACTGAGGCCCGAAGCAGGGGTTGGAGGGCGGGGGTCGCACAGCCCCTGAGCCAAGCGGTCCAGAAGAGAGATCTGCCTGCTCTTCTGCTGCTCTCGCACCCACCTCCCAACAGGCCAGGCCTTGGGGGAATTCCCTCTTTCCTGCTCCCCCCAACCCCCGCCCGCCTTTCCCAGCACCTGCAGGGGGCCCTTGGGGCTGGAGGCTCTTGCTTCCTGAGGGGGGATCCCAGATCCTCAGGGAAATTCCCTCTCCTTCCATCCCTCAGGTGGGGGCTAAGAGCTGGGATTTGCTGGCCCCACTACATCCCAGCCCCAAAGCCTCTGGCCTTGCTCCAGGCTGTGAGTGGGGGCTTTGGGGAATCTGAAAAAGCTCCTTTCCTCCTCTGGGCCCTGAAACCCTTTGCAGGGAACTTAGGAGGGGGGAGAGGGTGGAGAGACAGCCCTCCCCCCAGTATACTGTCTGGGGCTTTTTCTGTCCAATGCCAAGTAGCACAGTTCCTCCTAGGAAGCAGAACACTGACTGGGCTCAAAGGTTTTACCTGAATGCAGATTGGGAACAGAACCCAAAGAGCCAGAATCGCCAACCCAGTGAAAGTGGAAAGAGGTTCCCAGACCTCCAAAGGAGGTAGTTAGGGAACAGAACCTACTCACGCCCTGCTCTTCTCTGGCACAATCCTCACCAGAGGACCCAGAGGGCGTTGACCACATCTTTCTCTCTCCCCATTCCACATAAAAAAATGCACCCTCAGACAGGGAGAGCAATGATCTGGGGCCCTCGACCTGGGCAAGAGGGCCACAGACAGACCCCCTGCTCATCCATGTTTTAAAGGGCTCCTCAGCCTGTATGTGCAGCCTGCGGTGTCAGCACCACGTGGGAACCAGCCCAAAGCCTCCCCTGGCCAACAGCTCCAGAACATCTGCTTCCCACAGGCAGCAGCCATTAATTAACCAGTTTAACGATGAGGAGGAGGCTCTGCTGGTATGGGCTGGGAGAGTAGTGAAGCTTGGGAAAAGAGCTGCATGGACAGGGCAGGGCTGGGTGGGAGCTAGACTTGACCTGAGGGTGGATATGCCTCAGTTTACTTCACCTCTAAAGCGAAATGGGAAGAGCTAAGTCAGCTTGGAGATTTTTTTTGGAAGGAGAGGGTGAACCAGCCTGACCCAGGAGAAAGGGGAATGAGACTGAGAAGGTGCCAGCCAGAGTGAAAGGAAGCCAGGACCAAGGCCTGAGCAGGCCTGGCAGGGCAAGAGAAGGGGCAGGGTAGGGGTGGAATAGCCAGGAAAGGAGAGTGCTGAGTTACCATGAGGCTTAGTGTAGATGTAAGCAAAAGAGCAGGGTCTCAGAGCTCAACTGCCCAGAGGCGAATCCTGCTTCTACCCCTTTCTCACTGGTCACATCACCTTCGGTCAGTTTAGTCGCTCTGTGCCTCAGTTTCCATATCTTAACCTGAGGTTCATAATAGTATCCTCAATAGGTGGTTGTATGATTAAATAGGCTAATATGTAGTAAAGTGCTCCAAACAGTACCTAACTCAGAGTAAGCACTCAATAAATCTAGTTTATTATTACTTTGGTCTCTCTCTCTCTTTTAAATGAATGAGACATTTGAGGTAGCATGACCATTAGAGGGTAGGGGAGCCTGGGACACAGTCCTACAGAGGTTCCTAGGAACCTCACTTTGAGAAATTCCCCATTCTGCGCAGAAAGCTTGGGGGAGAAAGGGTTGCAGCAGAGGATATCATAGACCACTAGAGTGGATGGCCTTCTGGATGATCCAGTCCAAATTTCCCACTTCATAGGGGAGGCGAGAGGGTGGCAGAGCCAGGCCTAGACCCCTGAGGTCTGACTACAACCCCTCTCTCACCATTTTCCCCAGAGGAAATGGGCAGAGCAGGCTGCCCAGCCGAGGGTGAGTTAGTGAGGGCAGGGGTTGTTCCTGCCCTCTATCCCCAGGCCTAATCAAGTGCCTGGCACACAGTAGATATCCAATGCATGTTTGTTGACTGGATTAGGAGGGGGCGATGAGAAAGTTGCTGAATTAGGGGGAGCCCTGTGATTCCCAGGGGAGAGGCAAGCTGAGGAAGGGGAGGGCCCATGGCAGTGGGAGTAGAGTGAGTGGCTGGGAAGGGTAGCTCTTACCTGTCTACCAACTCGGTTGTTGTGGAGTCTCATGCGTGCGTGGATGTCTCTGTGAGGCTCCCGGGAGTCCAGAAAGTCTTTAGAGAAGCGCTCCCCAAAGCCCACGTCAGGGCTGCAGCCGCCCCACTCCCAGGAGTCCTGCAGGCCAGGGCTAGCCGGGGGCAGGGCTGGGAGCTCGGGAACCCCGTGGCTCAGGCCCTTACCCCGCTGCAGTGCATCCAGCTGTAAGCGGTGCAGCTTCCGAAGGAAGGCCTCCTCATCCCCGCGTCGGGATGCATCACAGCCGCAGGCCCTCAGTTTGCCCAGGGCACAGGCATTGGAAACTGCGTGCACTACGCCGGCCGCAGCGATGGCATATGCGAAGGCACTCTCTCGGAAACCTGCAGGTAGAGATCCAGGAAACTTAGGCTCTGAGCAGCCTTGACAAGCCATCCCTCTGCCTTCCCTACCCAAGCTTCTCACCAAACAGAGGGGAAACTGAAGCCCAGTGTTGGGAGAAGGCCTGTTACAGGGCACCAAGTCAAAGGGGGTCATAAAGCACACCAGAAATCCTGCCCAGAGCATGCAGGTGGTGGGAGTCTCCCTCATAACCCTCCTTTTTGTTTTGTTTTTAAATATATTTTATTGGTTTTTTACAGAGAGGAAGGGAGAGTTAGAAACATTGATGAGAGATAAACATAGATCAGCTGCTTCCTGCATACCCCCTTTTGGGGATATGTGCACAACCAAGGTACATGCCCTTGACTAGAATAGAACCTGGGAGCCTTCCGTTCCGATTTCAGCATAACTCTCCTTTTTGGCACTTATTTCCCTGTTTCATTAACATCACCCTAAACAAGCTCAGAATTTGTGTCTACATCTCTCCTTTTGGATAGAAGGTATCATCGTATCTGTTAAACAATCTTTTTCTCCTCCTCCTTCTCCTTCTCCTTCTCCTCCTCCTCCTCCTCCTCCTCCTCCTCCTCCTCCTCCTCCTCCTCCTTCTTCTTCTTCTTCTTCTTCTTCTTCTTCTTCTTCTTCTTCTTCTTCTTCTTCTTTTAAATCAGGGACTTGCCCTAGCTTGTTTGGCTCAGTGGGTAGAGTGTTGACCTGTGAACTGAAGGGTCCCAGGTTCGATTCCTAGTCAGGGCACATGCCTGGGTTGTGGACTTGATATATATTTAAAATAAAACAAAATCAGGGACTAAATCTATTACCTCTCTTATAATATTTGCATTGTAAAAATAAGCATGCAGAAGGAAGGCAAATTAAGTAACCTAAAGAATAAATCACCAGTGATTGAATTCTAGGTTGCAGGAAATGTTGGGCAGATGGGCAAGTCAGAGGAACTGGTGTCCTTCTAAAGCTCCTGGCCCCAAGATTGCCTGCCTGGTTGTCTCTCCCCTCACCCCCTTCAGGTTCACCATAGAACCTTTCTGGGGCCAGAATTGAGAGGCAGGGAAATCAATTGGCAGAATTTCCCCTTTTCCTGTCCACAGGACATTCCTGAACATCTAGGTCAGTTGGAGGTTGTTTGAGGGATACTAGAGGTGAGCCAGTGCTTTGCATGGGGTCAAGCAAAATAGTGTTGAAAACTGAGAGGGACTCGAGCTAAGGCAGACACTTACCCTGAGATGCTGGTGATGGTAGGTGAAGGGGAGATGGGGGCACAAAGACTCCCTCATGAGTCACTCTCAGGGGCTCAGGGTTGCGCTAACCTGGCCACTGACTTATCTACACTGTTTTCCTCCTTGGTGTTTTCAGCCTGAGCTTTTCTCTGGGACATCCCTGGTAGGTCTGGGCTTGTGGCAGGGGAAGGCCTACTTGCAGAAGAGTATCTGGCTCTCAGATCCACAGCTGCTTCTTGCTCATTCTGCATCTGAGAAAGGATCAGCTGTGAGCAGGTGCTGGTACAAGTTTCTGACCAATCTCTGAACCTGTGATGGCAATAAAAGACGCTAAAAGTAACAATAGTCCTCACACAAAGAGGAAAGTCTACCTTTGCCATAGGCCTCTGCTAAGGAAACCCAAAACTAGCCAGAGGCTGAAGGCCTTGGGGGATGCCGGAGGTTCAGAGGAAAAACTAGGGCCTTCCATTCAGCATCAAAGAATGGAAGGACAAGCTCTCAGAGGACTTACAGCTCCAGAGAGCCAACCAAGACTGGACAGAGACCCCAGCCCAACCTTACAATGTACACTCCTGCCCAACCAAACCAAACAAAAAACAAACAACCCCCCCCCCCAAGATATATAGTAGTAGTTAAGAACTTAAAATCAGATTGCCTGGGTTCAAATCTAGGCTCTTCCATTTACTAGAAGTCAATAGCTATATGACCTTGGCCAAGTGACTTCTTTGTGCCTCACTTTTCTCATCTGTAAAACAGGGTTATTATTATCTGCCTCATTGTTGTTCTAAGGATTAAATGAGTTAGTAAATTTAAAGTACTTAGAAAAATACTCATAGTAAGTACTTTATAAACATTAACTATTAAGTTCTTCCTGCTGTCTGACCTCACTCACTATTTCTATAGTTTCAGGCCATTGCTTTTTGTTTCCCTGATCAGGGACAGAGCAATAAATTACTTGGTTCACCAGAAACCCATACAGCAGACTGTCCCTCTCTATTTTCTCTTTCCAACTTGTGGGATCTTTGGGATCTTTCCATAAGAAGCTAGCTCTGAACAGACAAGAAGAGATGGGTATTTGCTGGAGCCTTCAAAGGGGATACTGGGAATTGGTGGCAGCTGCAGAGGAGTAGACACTGCTCTGGGAGATGGGGCCCAAGAGAAAGAAGGACAGATTCACGCTGAGGAGCACACCCTGTGTTTATCCATTGCCTTTTGTCTGTGGATCTCTGAAGTACTTCTCTTATTGCTGAGGGAGTCATCAGCCTGCTCCTTAGACAAATGGCAATATTCAGACCTCAAGAGGAAGCCCAGACCTCAGAAATCTACCCCCAAACACACACACACACACACACACACACACACACACACACACAGTGAAAGGGAGATGCCCAAGGTCATGGGGCTTTTGGAGCTGGACCCAGCCCCAGCTCTCCCACTTTCCAGGCCTGACAACTTTCTGCTGAAGGCCTTTTGACAGGGAAGACCTGCTGCTGAGTAAGAGACCAGGTAGCCCAGGTCCCAGTTCCCATGGCCCTGACTATGGGATGGCACCAAGAAAGAGCAAGAGGCTGGTCCGGGGGATGTGCTAAGCCAACCATCATATTCTAGGCTCTGTTACATTCAAGGATAGGCTGGAGGAATCTGGAGAAATGTAGTCCACAGCCTGCAATGACCACCCATACCTACCACAGGCAGCAAAAGAAACCATTCGTGGTCTCCAGTAGCTGTCACAGCCCCATGTAGGTGTGACCAGGCAGAGTTTGTGTGGCCACCCTCTGTTCTAAGCATCCAGGCCTCGAGAAGTCCAGCCCACTGGGTCTGCCTCCAGTTCCCATTCAGGGCCCCAGTTTCGGTCCTGGCCCTGACTGTCTGGAGCAGACGCAGGCACTGTGCCATCTGGCCAGCTGGAGGGGGAGAGGGGTGGGGCCATGGCCAGCTGGGCTGCCCGGAGCATTGGTTGGGGTGGGGGTGGGGGGCTCGTTAAGACGCACAATTAGCCTCTCTGCCTTTGATCTGGGACAGGGACTGCCAGCATCTAAGTGGAGTCAGCTGCTGCTACAGGCTGAAGCCAATGGCCAGAAAAGGGCTGGGGGAGGAGATTTGGAGGGTAGGGAAGTGTGGAGGAGAGAGGATTCAGGAGCCAGTGGGAACCTGGAGGGGGTAGAGAAGCTTGAGCCTTGCCCATTTGAATCAGACAGGAAAGGGAAAAGGTCTGGTCCCCATTCCCTCTGTGCAAACAATCTGTGCGTGCTCATGTGCCTGGGCTGAGAGGGCGAGAATTGTGTGCATACGGCAACACTTAGGGATGACACTGAATGTGGCTACATGCTTGCACAAACATGGGTAGGAGGTGTGTGTGTGCATGTCAGTTTTAGTTCTTGGACTACTCTTACATTGCACAGTTCACCTCTGGGCACAGAGATCATGGTGGCCTTTTAGCTTGGGAGGCAGTATGGCAGGAGTTGAGTGGACTCTCTAAAGTCAGCAGGCCTGCACTTGAGTCCTGGTTCTATAGCTCACTTACAAGCTGTGTGACTAAATGCAAGTTACCTAACCTCTCTTAGCTTCATTAGGAAAAGGAGGATAACAATAGGACCTACAAATGGGGATTGTTTGAGGACCCTAAAGTACAGATAAAGTGCTTGGCACAAAGCAAGTACTTAGTATGTATTGTCTGATCTATTGTATGCCATTAGAATAGTGGGATCTTAGGTGACCTTGAGATACGATTGCCTGTGCCTCTGTGTCCCCATCTGAGTTCTACCAACTACCCCAAGCCTGGAGATGTAGGCATGAAACCAAGACTCTGTGAGAATGAAAGTGAAGAGGAAGTGGGAGAAGAAAGAACCAAAACCTTGGAGAACAGAGACTGGACTCTAATCTGCTGGCTTCTCCTGCACTAGGAGCCTGGCTTGTTGTGGGGCCTTCTATCAGTTTCCAGTTGGTCTGGGTCTGAGGGAGGGCAGTACCTAAACTGTGTGGGAGCTCCAGAACCTGCTGTGTGAATCTCCTGCTGACTTCTCCATCAAGCCTCTCCTTGTCCTCCGGTCCAAGTCCAGCCTGAAGAAGCCCCTCCCTCAAATCTCCCTCTGGTCCCTGAGTGAGAGATGGGTTCTCTAGTTCTCACAAGGAAGAGCTCCCCTCTAGCTGGTCTTCTGCCAGCACTCCACCCACCCAGGCACTAACCCTCTGGGTCCTAGAACTAAAAGCTGGGAATGCCAGTGCCCTTGACACTTAGGTCACAGCTGCCCCTGCTCTGGATAAAACAGCCAGTATGGACTGGGAGTCCTCTCACAGCTTTTTTCTGACTCTAGCCTCCTAGAGGCCCCTCTCCTTGTCCTCCAACCCCAGGCTTCGGCGCGCGCGCGCGCGCGCGCGCGCACACACACACACACACACACACACACACACACACATCTCCTCTCCTTGGCTGGGTAAAGCCCTGTTATGTGCCTTGCCTTCCCAAGAACACACTCCAGGTACTCAACCTTCTTTCCTTCTCTCTCCTACATTAGAACCCCATCCCTCAGCCCAACCCATCTCAGGAACGGTGCCAGGACAATTAGATGACAGCAGCAGCATTAAAGTGGAAGGCCCAAGGGACCACCTCTTCCCAGCAGTTTCTGTATTTTAAACATGGCAGGATGCACCTTCAAGAAACCCTATTGGCAGCCTAGGCTCAGCACCTTGATATTCTACGTGGCAGAACTGAGGTCACCTGGCTCCACAATGGACAGCCCACAGCTTAAAAAGAAGTGACACTGTGGAAAGGGCCTATACCAGGGGCTGGCTGCCCCCAAAAGTGGTCCCATGGGACTTAAACTCAGCTAGTCCTTCAGGTAGAGCAGGAAATGACCCCCATGAGAATGAACTGAGAGGTGGAGATGAGAGAGGTCCTTTGTGGGGGTGGGGTGGGGGTAGGGGTGGAGGTGGGGGTGGCAATTCCGTTCCAGAAGTCTAGAGTCCCATCCTCCAGGGAGAAGTACAAATGAGGTGTCGTAATGCCTGGAGCAGAAGCCGCAGAGGTGTGCGACGGTGTTCTGAGGCCAAAGGAAGGAGCCCAGCCTCCTTGCCAAGCCCAGGAGTCGCTGTCCCGTCCCCTCCCCGCTTTGGGCGCCGCCCCGCCCCGGCTAGCCCTGGCAAGTCTCCCCCTCCACCCCTAACCTCTCCCCCTACCGTCCCCCCAGCTCACCTCCCGCTTATTAAACTGCAGGTGAACCCGGGAGCTCCTGGCGCCGCGCCAAGCCCGCTCCGTGCCACCGCTCGGAACTCGGCCCCCCCCCCCCCCCCCCCCCCGTGTCCAAGACCCTGCATCCTCCGCCGGGCGCAGGGCCTCGCCGGGCGCAGCCATCGGAACGCTCATTCGGTCTGGAGGGGACAGGAGGACCAGAGGGGAAGAGGGGCGCCGAGGCCAGGAGGGGTAGAGAGCTAGTTTTGCCTCGCCCCTTAGGAAGCGGCAGGGCTGAGTCCCAGGGAGCGGAACCGAAGCAAAGCATCGCGGTGTCCTCACGGCGCGGCCTGGGCACTGGAGGGAGATCGTGGCTTTGGGGAACTCGGGTGACCTAGAGACCCCCCGGAGTGGGAGCGGGCACACGGCGGCGGCCAGGGCGGGGCAGATATGGAGGCCTGTCACTTGGGGTTGGCTGGCGTCCCGCCGAGCAGGGCGGCGCGGGCGCGGGGGTCCGGCCAGCGGGGTCCGGGCCCGCTGCCCTTCAGCGCCTGGAGAGGCTGGAGATCGGCGGGGCGGGCGGACGGGGCGGGAGCGCAGGGCCGGGCGGGGGGCGCCCTCTCGGAGCGGCGCGGCGGGGCCGGGAGCCGTCTGCCGCGGCCCGCGGGGATTAGTTCGCGGCTGCATGCCGCCACACGCGTCGGGCTGGGCTCCGCCAGGGAGAAACAGCGCCCCGGGCTCGCGGGGGAGGCGGGAGGGAGAGCGCGCGGGGGCGGGGCGGGCGGGCGGCCCGGGGTTGGGCTGGGGGAGACTGGGAATGCTCGGAGGGGTCCTGGGAGGGGTCCTGGTGGAAAGGGGAAGGCGCTGGCTTTCTACGTTCTCTCTGTTGTTGGAGGTCCATTGGAGCCTTATTCTCTCCAGAAGCCGCAGACCCCTAGGCCAAAGGGTAGAGGAGTACCCCTCCTTCCCCCTTCACCGTCAACTGAGAATTGGACAAGTCCCAAGGAGCTAGGTTCTCACACCGTCCCACACGGGTCCCCACATTGTCTCCCCTAAGCAGCTGAGTAGGAGAGATGGGTATCCAGCCGGCCCAGCCAGGAGGCAGGACCCCTATCTTACCCACAGCACCTGACTCAAGGCCTAAGATACCAACCCAGGAGGTAGGTGTGAGCAGAAATGAGTGACAAAACCTTCCTAGATCTCCAGCCCAGGCCATTCTAGGGACTGCCCAGGTAAGACCTGGGTCATCTAGCAGTGAGGAGGGAGGGCAGGAGTCTTAAGTTTCTCTGTGTCGTGAGGGAAAAAGAAATTGGCAGGGCCTCCAGGCCTACTGGGCTGGAGGCACACACACCCAGTGCCTCTGATTCAGAGAGAGCTTTCCAGGGAGGTGAGGATGACACAGAGGCCGGTGGCATATCCTGCTGGGAAGAGCTTCTTCGGAAGTACAGACCTTTTACCTGCCCAGGCTTCCCTCACCTACGCCATTTGGCAAAAGTCCCCCATGCCTCCTCAAGCTGATTCTGGGTACTTTATCACAGGCTCTCTAACCTCAGTGCTGTTTGCTAGGAGGAGGGTAAGTGAGGCAGGTCACAGATATAGATAGTTCCTGGGCCTGGGATAATGCCATGCCAGTGACAGGGCAGTATAACTCAGGAGTCCTCTTCTCAGGCATGGAACCTGCCACCCTGGGGCCACACAGCCTAGCCTCAAGCCAACTCTTCCCCCATTTGTCTGCCCATTACCCCCCTCACTGTGGAGGGGCATTTCTGAGGCCAAATAAAGGTAGCATGGCTGGCAAATGGGCACCGAGGAGGTTGCCAGCTTGAGGGAGTGGGTTGGGGATGGCTGGCAGATAGGTTCTAAGGTGGAGGTGCTGGGAGGGGCAGGCAGAGGGGCAAGATGAAGGGCAGCTACCTCTGCTGAAGATGGGACTCTCGTAGGGGATCTTATTTCGAGTCTCGAGACTAGAGCAGTTCCAGCGCTGATCCCGGAACTGGTGCTGACATTCGTGGATGGCGATCTGGATGCCCTGGATGGCCGAGGCGGCCACGTCAGGGTGGCGCACGCAAACCTCCATCTGCCGCCTACTCAGGCCGGGCAATGTCAGGCACACGGTGTTGGCATCCAGCACGGGCTCCGGGGGAAGGCGGAGGCCTAGAATGTCGTTGGGTGCAGACCTGCAGAGTGGGATGGGGGTGGGTGAGTGTTTGGGGGACTAGGAGGACCCCATCTAACGATACACAGCCTGTCCCAAAGGCTCTAATCCCCTGGCCTTTGGGTTTCGGCTCGTCAGTGTACCCCTAAAGCATTCTCTTTTCCTTGACCTTCTCACCAGCATCAACTCCAACAAAACCCACCTAGGGGCACACCCACACAGGTAAACATGTGCAAACGCACACATCTGGAATGCCTGCACACACAGTATCTTATAAGTACATCTGCAGACATGGATGCTTACCCACACAGCATTCCCCAGAAGACCATTCTTTAAGACATGTTTCAGACATATTCCTGAAGACACATTGAGGTGAACACCCAGACCCACTTATACGCATGCACACTTCACCAGACATGGTTACACTACACACACAGACACAAACAAGTACACATAAGTGTTCATCTTAACATTTAGGAGCTCTCACATTCACATACCTGTGCACACAGACTGCTATTTACATAACACACCTTGCTGGGCTCACTCAAACACACACACACACACACAACCCTTCCATTTTCAGTACCTCACTGAACCCACCTGGGACTACACCCTTCCAACCCCCTGTGAGCCATCTCCTGCCTGTGAGCCATCTCCAAGGTGGAGCAAGGCAGTTTGGACTTATTTCTGGGGTGGGGGTGCATGCCCCCAGCACAGCACTGACTCCAACTTGGTACTTGCCACACACACACACACACCCCTTCCCTTCTGGTAGCCATCACTCTCCTGGGCACTGCCCTGTCTCCCTGCACTGCCCATATTCTGTCACCAGTTCTACACCTCCTAAGAGGACACTGTCTTTCATTGGGCAGCAGGACTTTCCTGTGACACTGTCCCTCCCTCCTTCCAGGGTCCCCAAGGCCTCTGTGGCTGGGGGTCCCAGCTCTCTGGGAAGGCGGAGCATAAGGTGAGGGCTCACCTGGGCAGGGCGGCAGCCAGCAGCAGCAGGAAGAACAGGAGCGCGCAGAGCGCGGGCCGCGGCTGGGGCCCAGGTCGGAGAAGCCGCAGCCAGGGACAAGGGTGGGTGCTGCCCATGGCGCGCGGGCCGTGATGGGCAGGGAGCAGGGGGCTCACAGCCCGGCAGGACCCTCGAGCCAGGGGCGACGGCGCATGATCCGCGGGGGTCGGGGTGGCTGCGACACGGAGCTCCGACCTGGGTCACGGCTCCGGGAGCAGACGGCGCCCGCCTCCCCGCTCCATGGGGCAGCGCCCCCGGGCACCGCCCCCGGGGGAGGGGGGGGGAGCGGGCGGGCGCACCGGGCACCTCCTGGCACAGGGGTCCAGGGAATTTCCCGAGCCCCCCCTGCGACAACTCCTGGTGCCTCTTGGGGGTAAGGGGGGCCCGGCGGTGCTGCGGGCTGGAGACGAGAGGCTGGGGTGCCGGGGCGCTGCCCCGCCGAGCCTTCGCTTCTGAGGGCGTGTAGGGCGAGCCGAGGTGGGGGCCGTGGGGGGGCGGCGCTGTCTGTGCTGGCCTCGCCGCCCAGAGAGTGAGTGACTGTCCCAGCTCAGGGAGCTCCGCCGCCTCCCCACCCCCCGGAGTGTCTCAGGGCTCTACCCCACGTGACGTCACGACGGGGTGGGGGAGTGGAGGCGTGTACGCGTCCTGAGGCCACTGCGTCCGCTCGGGACTCTGGGTGGGAGCGGACACGCGGGGGGTGGGGACGAGGAGAGGGCAGGGGTCTGTGCGCGCAGGCACAGGGAGGTGCGGACACTCCGGACGTGCTGGTTTGTGTTGGAAGGTGTGTGTTACTGGGAGGTGTGGGTGCCTGGCGGAGACACAGCTGCTGGAGAGCGCCCCCCCCCCCCATACACACACCTGCGAGGGCTGGAGAGGGGAGGGCTGGCCCCTCTGCTCGCCTCCCCCACTTCAGGGGGGACTTCCCAGGCTTGGCTGGAGAGGCAGGTGTTGGATCCTGCAAAGGGGGGTTTGGCAGCTTCTGGATCTTGCTCTCTCCTTCGCTGTGTGACCTTAAACAGGTGCCTGCTGCTCACTGAGCACCCTTAGCTACTTTGTGAAATGAGGTTAACGAGGGCCCCCTAGTCTAGTCACCTCATCCAGCCAAGGAAGATAAAATTGCTGGGACTCCAGTAGTAAATGCTTGTCTGGGCGCAGAGCACCCAGAGGTGGCACACCCTGGGAGGGGTGGGGTAGAGAGCCTCTTAATCCCAAAGGTGTGCTTCAAGGGCGCCTTATTTCACCCTCTTTTATTCGCAAGAAAACATTTAGGTTCAGAGAGGGTTGCGCTTTACTCAAGGTCACACAGCAAGTAGATGGAAGAGTTGGAACCAAAACAGGTTTGCTTGATCCTGAGCACAGCAGCAACTGCCCCAACACCGGGTTCTGCTTGCCCTGGCCCTGCCACTGGTAATTGGTCCGCTGGGAGCTCCCCAACACCAGCTTCCAGCTCAGGCTCAGGCTCACTCCTCTCTGGTATCCCTTCCTGTCCTCTCTCTGTAGCTGAACACTGGGTTCACCTCAATTCAGGGTGAGTGTACTAGATCCAGGCAAGCACCCGAGAGCCAGAGGGTTGGGAGAGACGCTTCTGTGCCTGATTCTGGTTCTAATCTGTGCCCTGATAGTGAATCCTACTCCTGCCAAGGCTTTAGCATCCTCCTTTCAAAAATGGGCACAAGCGTCCCACTTTCTATACACACCTTCCTGCCAACCTCACTGCCCTCTCTCTCTGGAGAGAGCCTCTGCTGGTTTAAGGGTAAAGTACAGAACCTCTGGCCGCAGAGACAAAAGGGGCCCTTTCCTGGAACTGGCCCACCCCGGGGAACTGGCGGAGAGGGGTGGGGCCTTCTCTGTCCCCAGACTGTCAGGTGGTGGAGGCAGCCTGAGCAACAGCAGGCTGGTGGCACACTCCCCCTTCTCTCCCCCCTCTCTGCCTGCAGCCACCGCAGCTGTCAGGAATTAAGGACTTGAGGCTGTGGGGGATGAGGGTGGCAAGGAGGAGGGGAGAAGATTGGCTGGACAGCAGGAAAACAGCGGGGGGGGGGGGGCGGGGAGAGCAGTCTGCATCAGCCAGAGCCTTGTTTGACCCTAGCTGCCCTCTGCCCTTCCCCCCCATGTTTCAGGCACCATGCTGAAGGCACAGGGAATTTGGAACTAGACTTGGGGAAGGGTATAGAGAGGGACAGGGCAGCCCCAGCCTCAACACAGGAAGGAGGCATGGACGCAGGGTGAGAGAGGGCCCCAGCAGGGGCAAGCCAGACTGGGAAGTCATGCTCCCATTGGCTGTGAGGGAAACAGAGGCCCAGAAAGGAACACGCTCCATGAGGAATATAGGTTCCTCATCCTTACTCCCTGTCTAGTGCTCACACTAGCATTTCCCAGTACCCATGTGTCATATGTATCCCTTGGGGTGGGCCATTGTGGGAAATACTGCTTCCAGTCCCAAGCAGCAGAATCATCCTTTCCAGGGACAAGGCCTGGACATATGCATTTCTAACTGGCATCCCAGTGATTTTCGTGAGGATCATATTTGGGAAACACTGATTTGCTTGAGTGGCTGATTTTTTCCTTCGGCCTCCGTCTAATGAGGAAGGGTCTCTTTGCTCTCCCACCCCCTGCTGTTCATGAACCCCAGACATGTGGAGGAGAGGGAGAAGGCCCTTTCTCCAAAACCCCCAGGAGGCAAATAATGTTGCCCAAGCCCTGCTTGCACCAGGGCGTGGTTCTGGCCTGATGTCAGGAGGGTTCAGAAGCACCAAGCCTGGGGCACCTCTCACAGTTCGGGGAGGAGAGGGCCTGTGTAGGGTCTTGGCCTACATGCAGATGAGGCCCAGAGAGAGTGCCTGCCCCAGCCTCATATGACCCACGCCACGGGCAGCCCCCAGGCCCCACCCTGGCCTGCTCTGGGCTCTGGCCCTCAGCCCAGCCCCAGCCCCCGCAGCAGCCTCAGCGCAGCCTGAGACCACAATTACAGGGGCCACTGAGGGTGGGGGAGCACCATGGCTGAAAGGCAGCTCTGAGAATGGTTCCAGCTGTGGCGGCTCTGGAGGAGGTGGCAGGGAGGGGAGTGCTGGGGAGGCACCAGGGTGAGAACAGGTGGGCCCTTGGTCCTGATGCTCTGCCAGAGACGTTTGACTTGGTGAAGAAGAGAGGGAAGGAGTCTCAGATGGATAAGGGAGTTTGTTGTCCTATTGTCTAGGTCTCAGGGGCCACCACCCCTCAGCAAGGTAAGGGAGCATAGCTTGCTGCTTCGGTCTCCCAGACACCTAGTTTGTTTAATCATGGAAGGGAAGGGGAAATGTTTCTGGAGCTCTCAGCCTACAGCTGATCCTGGCCCTTCCAGCCAGCTTCCCCATCCATCTTGCATTCAGGCTGTGTTTTTTTAAAAAATTTTTTTATTAATATATGTTATTGATTTTTTTTTTACAGAGAGGAGGAGAGAGAGGGATAGAGAGTTAGAAACATCGATGAGAGAGAAACATCGACCAGCTGCCTCCTGCACACCCCCTACTGGGGATGTGACCGCAACCAAGGTACATACCCTTGACTGGAATTGAACCTGGGACCTTTCAGTCCGCAGGCCGACATTCTATCCACTGAGCCAAACCGGTTTCAGCCAGGCTGTTCTTGATATGGTCACTCACACATCTGGAGCATCTCAGTACTTTCCCACCATCTCCTTGATTCCACATGTCCTCCATCACACAGCCAGCAGGAAGCCTTGGTGACTCAGATTGTGTCTGGGGCTGAGCAATTGGGCCAGCAAGTGTGTGTGTGTGTGTGGGGGGGTGGGAAGTATGATGGGATATTTTAAAAAAAATATATATTTTATTGGTTTTACATAGAGAGGAATTGAGAGGGACAGAGAGTTAGAAACGTCGATGAGAGAGAAACATCGACCAGCTGCCTCTTGCACACCCCTCACTGGGGGATGTGCCCGCAACCAAGGTACATGCCCTTGACCGGAATCGAACCCGGGACCCTTCAGTCCGCAGACAGACACTCTACCACTGAGCCAAACCGGTTTCGGCTGATGGGATATTTTTGAGTTCTGCTTCCAGCCTCCTCCCAGGCAGCAGTGCAAGAGCCTGATCCTAAAGCGGGCCAGGATAATGGTTAAAATGGTGCCTATCGAGCCATTACTCTCACCCTTCACCGGTAGCTGTTCCCAGACTCCTGCTAGGCGCAGTCACAGAAGATGGACCACTAACAAGTGACTAGCACTTTAAAGATGGCAGTGTATCCCTGACCAGTCTGGCTCCTTGGTTGTGGGCACATTCCCCCCACCCCCCGTAGTGGGTGTGCAAGAGGCAGCTGATCGATGTTTCTAACTCTCTACCCTTCTCCCTTCCTCTCTGTAAAAAAAAAAAAAAAAAAAAAAAAAAAAAAAAAAAAAAAAAAAAAAAAAAAAAATCAATAAAATATATTTTTAAAAAAGATTGCAGTGTACTCTTACAATGTAGTACTAATAAACTACCAGGCACTCTCCCCTCTCTTCTCCGCCCCCCATTTCATAATGGGAAAACTGAGGCTCAGAGAGATTAGCTAATTTGATCAAGGTTGAGCTAGCAAAATAGGTCTTTTGTTCATTGTATCATGCTACTTCCTCTGAATTCCTTTTAACATGCTTGGATTGGTATCAGTTCATGCCACTGCCTCAGTTTCCTTCTCTGGCATCATGGAGAAGAATGTCCAGAATCACCCACCCCATACACTCTCCACTCCCCCCGCCCTCTCCTGGACCTGGAAGTAAAGATGGGGAGGCAGGCATCCCAGACAGTCTGGAGCCCTAGCAGCTTATCCTAAACTGTCTCTGGGTCTCCTGGCTTCCTTTCATCCTTTCTCCTGCCTACCATTCTGAGTTCCCTAATTGTTCTGCAGGTTCTGATGGTCCTTTTTAATAGGGAAACTGGGCTCTGTGCACCCTCTGGTGGTCTCTGAAAGAAGTTCGGGAGATTATTTTTTATCAAAGAGCTCTGGGGAAGGCAGAGATGTGAATAAAAACCCTATCTGCTTCATTCCCCTTCCACATGGCCCACAATGTCAGTTCCTCTCTCTTCCCTTTGTAAGTTACCCAAGTCCTCTTGTACGAGAAGTTCTGAGTCCAAATTCTCCACTATGCTTCCCTGAAGCCCAGGCATTTGACTTGAGGGGGCCAGGAGAAGCAGGAAGGAAAAACATAGATGTTCCTTCCTTCCCACAGCAGCCTATACCCCCTCTCCACACATGCCACATGCAGAGGCCCAGCCTGATCCTAGCCAGAGTAAGTGATAGATGTGGATGGAGGGGCATTGAGGGGGGAGGACAGATGCACTAGAAGCCTTAGTTAGGGTCTGGCACGTCCAGGATGAGTTCTCCTTCCTTCTGTTTCATTTGAAGAACTCTGCCATCCTCCCTGTGCCATTATTCTCTGTGGTCTTGGTGGGGCTGTCAATCCCAGTCAAAGTAGTACATCTCTCTGACACTGTTATTGCTTCAGGAATAGGCAAGAAACGCAAGCTGACCCAGTCAGGGTCTTCCTCAGGACCTCTACTTAGAAGGCCATTCCTTTTCATATCACTAGCTCTAAGAATGTAGGCATAGAGCTATCATTTAGAGAAAATCAATCTGCAGTAGGCAAGAATGAGGATGGCATGAAAAGAGAGGCAGAGCCGGCACCGGTTTGGCTCAGTGGATAGAGCGTTGGCCTACAGACTGAAAGGTCCCGGGTTCGATTCCGGTCAAGGGCATGTACCTTGGTTGCGGGCACATCCCCAGTAGGGGGTGTGCAAGAAGCAGCTGGTTGATGATTCTCTCTCATCGATGTTTCTAGCTCTCTATCCCTCTCTCTTCCTCTCTGTGAAAAATCAATAAAATATATTAAAAAGAGAGAGAGAGAAAGAGAGGGAGAGAGAGAGAGAGAGAGAGAGAGGCAGAGGTAAGCAGAGACAGTAGATGTGGGGTGGAGGTGGGAAAGAGATGTATGACACGCTTTGGGACCCTGGGTTCAGCTGTGTCTGAATTCAGTTTTACCCCTGGACTTCCAAGGTATAAGACCCATTAATTAAATTTCTTTGGACCAAGCTAGTTTTTTAAAAAATATGTCTTTATTGAGTTTTATAGAGAAAAGAGGGAGAGGGATAGAGAGATAGAAACATCAATGAAATGAGAGAGAAGCATCATTGATCAGCTGCCTCCTGCATCATTAATCAGCTGCCTCCTGCACGACCCCTACTGGAGATCAAGCCCAAAACCCAGGCACGTGCCCTAACCAGGAATAGAACCTGTGGCCTCTTGGTTCCTGGGTCAAAGGTCAACCGCTGAGCCACATGGGCCAGGCTGGACCAAGCTAGTTTGAGTTGGGTATCTTTATTTTCAATCAGGGCCTGCCTAATGCCTACAAAAACAACAACACCCCACAGCTTTCTATTCTCATTCTTACAGCAACTATCAATTATTTAGCATAAATTTAACATAAATTATTCTGTGCTGAGTGCTTTTCATAGTTGAAAGATATCCTCCCCACATTTCTATGAGGACGTGGGATGGATTGTAATGGCTGCAAATTCTTTGCCATATTCCCATGGAGAGGTGGCGTCTATTTCTCCTCCTTCCTTGAGTTTTGTCTGGTTCTATGACTAGTGGCGACCGATAGAGAGTAACAGAGATGCTGTGCAGCTTCCAAAGCTGGAACTAAAAGAAGAGATGGCAGCTTCTGCCTCCTAGGCTGGCACAGTCTATGTCAAAAGTCAGCCTCATGTAGGAAGTCGCTCCAAACGGAGGTCACCATTCTATGAGGAAGCCCAAGCTAGACACATGGAGAGAAGGAGACCACTGGAGAAGCTCTGAGGCACTAGACATATGAGTGAAGCCCCTTTGAGTGTCCAGCCCAGCCCAGCCACCAGTGGAGTACAGCCAAGTGAATGACTACAGCCAATAGTTCTGCCATAAGGAGCAGAACCACCAAGCTGAGCTTTGACAAATTCCTGACCAAAAGGACCGTGAGAAGCAGTTATGCTGGGGTTGTTTGTTATGCAGCAATGAATAACTGGAACAGGATGATAGCCCCATTATAAAGGTAAAGAAACTGAGACTCACATGATCTGTACTGTAAACTTCTAAGCAGCAGCACCAGCTTCAGACCCAAAGCTCTTGCTTTGCCCTATATACCTTGAAGGGGGCAGGTACAGTATTTGGACTATGAGAATATTGGGGGCTTTGAATGCTAGCCTTTTGGCTATCCCCTTTCCCCTTCTCTCTGGAGGAAGATGGGGGCATGAAGTTCAGCTCTGGAGAGCCCAGATCTCTCACACCTTTCTCCTCTTCCCTCCGCACTAACCATCAGCTTCCCGAGAAAGAACTAGAAGGAAGGAAATGTAGTTGGGTGCCAGGAAAAACCTTGGAACAACTTTTCTTTGTCTCCCTCTACGTGCAATTAGAAATGCTGTTCTGAGCAGTCTTTTCAGTGTTAATGAGGGTAAAGTTAGTTTCAAATGTTTAGTCTAATGTTAGTAATAACATATTTCATCACATTCTACGGTTCATAAAGTGCTTTAATCCTATGGGCTTGGGTGGCCCTAAAAGTCTACCCACAAATCCCCCAGGGATCACAGAAACAGAAGGGCAGATGAGGGTGTCACACTCCCTTAGAATGTTGATGAGAGCTGAGTACACCAGCAGAGGCTTCCCGTCTGCTTTCCCCAGACCCTCTCTAGAGTCTGTTCCTTTAAAGAGGGATTGTTACTTCTTCCCCAGCTTGTAGATCCAGGCTCTACATGTGTGACAAGAGTGAACAAGAAGAATGCCAAGGGGAGATTTGGCACTCTTCACATGATTGCCAGGAGAGCCCAGTCCCATTGGAGGGGAGAGGAAGGAGAGGATAGGGACCCAGTTCTATCAAAACCACCTTCCAGAACCTGGCTCATGTTAACCCGCAGGAGACCAGCCCCCCTCCCAAACGGTGGTCCCAGTCCTATTGGTTTAAATATCTTTATTGATACTAAACTCACCCACCCAACACATGGCCAGCAGTTCTTAGGGACCCCGCATCCAGAGGCCTAGAGAAGTTTCCATCTGGGACCAAAAGAGGGAAACTGCAGAGTTCCCTACAGCGTATAGTTTCCCCAGAACGCGTTAAAGCACCCCTGGGAATCCCTGCGATGCACTGGGCCTTCCTGGGCACGCGAATGACTCCAACCTCAGTTTCCAGAGGCTTGGGAGATGGACTTTTACAAGGGTAAATTGGGCCACGGCAGCGCCCCCTGCTGGAGCCCAGAGGTCACACAGGTACGAGAGGCAGCGCTGCGCACCGTTGGGGGAGCGGCGGGCGGCGGGTCAGAGGCAGAGGCTGAGCTCCTTGCGCACGAGGCACTGGTGGCACTGCACCACGCAGCACCAGTGGAAGCGGCACAGGCAGTTCTCCTCGAGCTGCACGCTCTCCTCGCGGTGCCCGCGGCCGCAGCACAGCAGGTCGCAGCCGCTGAGGTCCAGCGCGCTGCTGTTGCAGGCGCGGCCGCGCGTGCCTGGAGAGCCGGTGCGCCGGTTGGGGGCGCAGAAGTCGGGCGAGTCGGCGACGTAGAGCAGGTCGGCGCGACTCGGCGGCTTGAGATTGCGGACGGCGGGCAGCAGAGCCTTGCCATCGTTGGTGCCCATGACACGCGAGGCGCCGTGGAAGCGCTCGAGCAGCTCCGCGCCCACCTCCCGGAACGGAGGCAGCTTCTGCCAGCAGGTGCGCAGAGCGCACGAGCCCGACAGCCCGTGGCACTTGCATTCAGTGCGCGTATGGCTCCGCACCGCCTGCGGGGAGCAGAGGAGCAGGCAAAAGGAGACACATGTGGGGTACGGGTCGCGGAAAGGCCCAATGGACCCACAGACAGAAAATAGTGGGGTTGGAAGAAAGGAAAGAGCAGACAAAAAAAAAAAAAATTAAGGAAGCGACAGCCCGGAGTGGAAGGTAAGAATGACAATGATGGAGAGGTAGAAGTGGGGAGTGGGGGAAAGAATGCAGCGCAGGGATTCTGGGATCCAAAGCCAGAGAATGGGGAGAAGGTAGAATTGACAGCGCCGGGTGAGAATCTTCCTGGAGCAGGGGAGGTGGCGTTAGTAGCTGTCGCACCTTCTCCCTTCTGCCAACAGGCGCAGAGCCCGCTCCTTGGGCGCCTGTCTCCACCATCCCTCCCCAGCCCTCTCTGGCAGGTATGTGGGCCTGTCAGGACATACTGCTCTGGGCCCCTTCTCACCCTCTGTCCATGCCTCAGCCCCAAACTCTAGAAGATACAGGCTATGTGTGGGGATGCCTCTAGAGCACCCTAGAACTGAGGCAGGGTGCCCACTGTAGACGTACTACTGAGAACTAGAACTCCAGGAGTCCTGTCCTCTGTTTGCTGTTTGTGTCTAAGAGTCACAACCCCACCAGAGATTCATGGGGCCAAACGCCCTAGGAAGATCATCTCTGGAATCAGCGTCTATTACAGACATTTGTGTCCCTTCCCCTCCCAGGTTCTGTCCTTCCCCCTGGAGACTTCTGACCCAGAGAGCTTTCTGTCCCTAAACAAGCTCCTGGGGCCTCCTCACTGCAGAGGGATGGGACAGGCTGCCAGAGTTCTGGGCAAGGCCTGGTCTAGGATTTCTGGGAAGCCAGTTGACAAGAATCCCGATTCAGACACAGCTTTCCTGGCCTCTGCCTGACCCCCTCCTGCCTCCACCAGGATCCAGCCCATTACTCCTTGGTCTAGCCCCTTTCCAGGCCTCCCTCACACCTCCTGGTTCCCCTACCTTAAGACATTTGTCTCCATCCTCTTGTCCCTGCCCTGGCAGCCACATCTCTACCCACCCCAAGCTTTACCCCACCTGTCCTGTTTCAGAGGTATGCCCTCTCTACCTGGGGTCCCTAAAAACCTCTCCCCTGGGTGACCTTCCCTACCCTGTCCCAGGCCCCCAACCAGTCTTCCCAAGTGGCCCTCCACCGCCACGCTAGCTTCCACACAGGTTAACATACTCCTACACATACACACCCTCTCTCATACACTCACTTCTCCCACGTCAACAAAGTGCTCCTACACATTCACCACACTGTCCTACACCCACCCAGCCACACAACTGTCCCACATCCACTGACACACGCACACGTTTCCACCGTCGTGCACACACCCTCTCGCGCACCCCTGCCCTTACTCACCAGCCGGCCGGCCTCATTGTTGTGAAGTTGCACCAATGCTCGGATGTCTCCACTTCCCCGCTTATGCCTCGCATCCATGAAGAGCCTGGACTTCTCATCCCCGAAGTCCACATCGTCCCCACAGCCTCCCCACTCCCAAGCTGCACTACCCTCTGGGGAGCCCACAAGGCCAGGGGGCCCAAGGGTGCCTGGCAGGCCAGGGGGCCGTGATGGGGCCCGCCTGTGGGGTGCCTGGCAGCCACATTGCAGCAGCTCGCCCATGGAGCAGGCCTGCGTGACTGCATGGCTGGCGCCTGCAGCCGTGATGGCAAAGACGAAGGCGGTCTCCCGGATGTCTGTGGGGACAGGGAGGAGCAGTCAGCACAGCACCAAAGCTGGGTCCTAGGGGACTGTGGTGGGCGGGGCCGTGAGGTGGGGCTGGCAGACAGGGTCAGGGCAGGGTGCCCAAAGATTCTGGGAGAGGTGGGGCTCGGGCAGCCTCCCCAAACCTCCACCCTCTCCCCTGAGTCCAGAGCCCAGAGCCCTTAACCCCTCCCCCCCCCCCCCCCCCACACACACACACACTGACCCTGCTGCAGGATGCGCCCAAAGGCCTTGCTGTGGCTGGAGCAGTTCCAACGGCGGAAACGGAACTGGAACTGGCACTCTCGAACCCCAAGCCGGGCACCCCGCGCTAGCTCGGCCACCACTTCTGGCTCTTCCTGGCACAACTCAGCCTGCCGCCCTGCCAGCCTCCGTGCTTTCCTGCAGATACTGGTGGGGTCCATGACCAAGGGGCTGCCCACTGCCCTAGGAAGCAAAACACAGCAAGTCAGGGGTAGAACTCCAAGGGTAGGGGGTGACAGAGAGGGAGAGCAACACCCCACCCCCACCCCCCAATCAGCCGGGTTATGCCTCCCACCATCACCAACTAAGATTGAGATTCTCCTATCTGGTTCCCCTGCCATTTCATCCATGTCTGTGTTCCCTTTTAACTAGAGTCTAGACTGAAATCCACTGTAGAGCAAGAATTCAATCTTATCCTTCTATGCATGTTTTTACTAATAAATCCTTATCTAATTTGACTCAAGGTAAAGACAGCTGGCAGCAGGCAGGCCAAGACTAAAATTCAACAGGCCTCACCCAAAGGGAGACAGGAAGAATTTAACAGAAGGAAGATCAAGAAGGTTGTCAAAAAAAAAAAGAAAAAAAAAGAAAATAAAAGAAAGAGATTTTAGAAAAAGATCAAAAAAATAACTGGTCTTAGTGGACCACAAGCTGGATATGTGTCAGCTGAATAGTCCTGATGCTAGCAAGGCATGGGCAATCCCAAGGGACATAGAAAACCATCTGATGTTAGTGTGGCTGGAGAATGGAGCCTCTGAGAGAAGTCACACTCCCTCTCCAGCCCAAGTTTCTCATTCTGTAAAATGGAAGAATGGGTTTGACCTCTAAGGTGGGCCCTCCCATCCTCAGATCCTCTGTTTCCCTGAATTGGAGAGCAGGAAGAAGGAGCTGGGGCTGAGTCTCTGAAGCATTGTGAAGCAGGTGACAGTGACTCTTCTCCCACTCCACGAGCTGTGGCCTTCCCAGAGCAGCATGGCAGCAAGCCAAGCCCTATGCAATGGGGTGACATCACTGATTGGAGAAGGGGGGACACGGAGCGGGTGGGTAAAGACCTTGTGGGAAGTTCCACACACTTTCAGAAATCCCTCCATTCCCACCACCATGCTGGCTCCCACACACATTCCCAGCCTTCATTCTGACAAGAGAGTTACCCTTTGGTCTCCATACCAGGCCTGCGAAGGTTAACTTGGCTGGGTATTCACACCTGGATGAGAGGGCTTTCATCAGATTGCTCTTATTTGAATGCTTAACTGGTATGCCTGTCTTGTAAGAATGAGTGCAGTTGAGCACTTGGGAGCTGAGGGTAATTTGAGACCACTCGAAAACCCTTCAGCAGAGGGCAGAAAAAGACTCTCTGGGCGGGGAGAGAAAAGTGGCATCAGGAAATAGAAAATGTAGAGGAAAATGGTGGCAGATAGGTGCCAAAGGTCAAGGTGGTCTTCTTTTCAGTTTAGCTTCAGTGTACATCCACCCCACTGTCCCCATTTGCTCCACAAGTACAGGCTTCCCAGGCATGTTCTGGCCCAGCAACAATGAAATGTAATGGGCTTAAATAGCAGCAAAAGGAATTTAGGTCTTAAGATAGAACTTAACACTAAGGAGTGAGATGCTTGAAGAGGTGGTTGCAGGGAGATATGTAAGTCCTTTACGGTCTAACACACACACACACACACACACACACACACACCACCTGACATCATTGTTATCATCCCTTTCTAAGTAGTCCAGGAGCCAGAGTTCTCTCCTCAGTGGAGAGAGAGACTCATAGTCCAGACCAATGATTTTCAACCTGTGTGCCACAAGAATTTTTAAAACTGACTATTGAGCCAGGGCACTGACCTTTTCTTTTCTTTTTTTTTTTAAAATATTTTTATTGATTTCAGAAAGGAAGGGAGAGGGAGAGAGAGATCGAAACATTAATGATGAGAGAAACATTGATCGGCTGCATCCTGCACCCTCCCCCCCCCCCAAAAAAAAATTGGGAATCAAGGCCACAACCCAGGCATGTGCCCTTGACCAGAATCGAACCCGGGATCCTCCAGTCCACGCTCTATCCACTGAGCCAAACCAGCTAGGGTGGCACTGACCTCTTTTTCCTTAGATTGTTAAACAAACAAACAAAAAAAAATGACAATAGTTGTCCAGTGTGAGTGAATAAAAATTATACCTAATTTTTGGGTCAGATTAACACATTTTTGGTGTGCCACAGAATTTTAGATATTAGTTTATGTGTGCCATGAGATGCAAAAGGTTGAAAATCGCTGATCCAGACCTTCTCCCCTCCATGCTTAGGACCTGCCCATCACTGTATTCCAACTGTACCCTGGGAAGGTCTAGCCCCAATCCTTTTACAACCATAGAGAAGTGATGGATGGAGCAGTGGGGAGTGGGCCAAGGGTAGGACAGCTAAGCTGGCACCCAGTGGCTCAGTGACCTTCAAGAATTTTAGGTGCTTCAAGAATTGATTTCTACTGCCCAGTGTGGCTCAGTGATTGAGGGTTGACCCATGAACTAGGAGTTCATAGTTTGATTCCTGATCAGGGTATATGCCTGGTTGTAGGCTCGATCCCCAGTGTGAGGCATGTTTTTATCTGTCTCTGCCTTCATCTTTGAAATATATATATATATATATATATATATATATATATATATATAATTTTAAAAAGAGTTGACCTCTATCTATTTATCTATCCCCACCTCTTGCCACTTATTTCACCTCATTACAAAAAGAATTTGAGGAAGCTTCCAATAAGATCATATAGGGTCAACAGATAAGATATAAGCACCTTGAGAGCTATTAGCATCATTTTCTTTCGTCTCCTAGGCAGATTTTAAGGTGCTTAATTCCTATTTCCCCTGGATTTTAATGGAAAATTTGCATATTATAAAAAATTACTATAATGCTACAATGAATACCATTTAATACATGTTTTTGAATGAAGAAAGGAGCCTTCTAAGGAGACAATCCTTACTTGAGCCCAGCCCCTGTCCACATGTCATTTCATGACTCCTCCTAATTGCTTTCCATAAACATTTTATTTCTCCCACTGGATTCAGAGGCAGGGAAGCAGGCCTCCCCAGGCTGTCCAGGTCCTCTCCTGCCACCACATGTCCAGGCCTCCACTTAGGAGTCTGGGGCTCTGCACACTCAACACTCCCCCATGCTACTAAGTTCCCCAATTCTCCTCCCCAAACCCTGTGCTAACTCCCTACTTTCCCAAGGTCGACTGGCCTTATCTTCCCAAGGTTACTCTGCCCCATCCCTCTCCTCTCCCTCCTCCCGTCCCAGGGGATGGAGGGGGTATGCAGGGGAGAAAGGCAGAAATCTCTTGACCTTATCTGTTTCCCAGGGGCTAGAGATAGAAGACTCAGAAGGATTCCTGGCTGCCTGGGAACTAGACTTGTTTACAAGCTGGTCAGGGGAAGGGATGGGCAGTAGTAGCAGCCAGAATCCCAAGGGACCAGTTTGCTCCCTGCCCTCCTGTTCTTGCTCCCATCCTCAAGTCACAGGAAAGGGAACTCCAGAAAATGAGTGGCCGGGCAGCATTGGGCAAAACACCGAGCCTCACTTGAATACCCTGGTCTCTGTCAGCTCTGGGTGAGCTGAGCCACTCTGGGCAAGTCAGTTCCCTCTCTGGGTTTCAGAAACACAAGGAACTAGCATGAAAGGCTCGCATACCCCCTCTCACTTTAACACTTGACTCCACATCAAAAAATAACTCCCCCATCCCTCCTCTCCGTTTACCCTCCTTCCTTCCCTTCTGCTTCCTTAGGGAATGAACTCTGCTCTTCATGCTCTGAGTCAGCATTGTCCTGGGATCAGCCCACAGAGGCTGTGCCCCTTTGGGAACATCTGCATGTTTTGGGGGCTGGGACACAGGGTGGTAAGAAATATGTAATATAGAATATGTAGGGTCTGTGATCCTAATCAAGTAGACATTCCTGGGCATAGAAACAATGAGGCCAGTTTTAAAAGAAATCAGTATGCAGACAAGAAGGGACAAGCCTAGGGTTAGCCATTCTGACTGGCTTGGCCTGCGCCAAAATCTTCCTCCCAGGGCACAACATCTGTAGATCCTGCTCTGGGGGCCCAGAGTCCTGGTCTGCTCTACTTTTCCTTTCCCATATTCTCAGGGCCTAAGAGAATGCCCAAGGTCATGCAGGCCAGCTCCACCAACCTGACCTTCCTAATACAGATGCACAGTCTGAGAAGGGAGGTGACTAACACTGACTACTCAGTGGGGGGCGGGGGGGGGGAGAAGAAGGGGGAGGAGGGTGTCTCATTGCAAGAAACTTAGGTAAATATTTTAAAAACCAAAGGGCCAGGGGGAAATAGCCACCAAAGGTATCAGAAGACATTAGGTAGCCTCCTCCCATACATTCCTTACTCCTAGCAGGATTGGGTAACTCTGCAGCCATCCTAGATTCTACTGGACTGAGAGCCAGCCCCTCCCTAGATCCTAAGTCATGAAAATCTAACTCAGCATCTCTCCAAGCTCACCTTAGATACCACTTGCCCTAAGGTGCCTCCTCTGGTCCCCATGCCTCTCTCTACCTCATTCTGCCTGTCACTCACTGCGGGAGGGGCAGGTGCTTGTTATCCTGCCAGTGGCATAATTATTTTGTCATGCTTTCTTGTCTATCTCTCCAATTAGATAGGAAACTCATTAAAGACAAGGATCTAATGAGGAAGCATAATATCAATAGTAGAGTATACGCAGGGCTTTGGGGATCCAGCGGATATGGGGTTGGATCTGGGCTCTGCTGCTTGCTTATTCTTTGATGTTGAGCAAATCCCTAGCACGTGCAGTTGGCATTTAGTATTTGCTGAATGGCTGCTGAGACTTAACCTTCTGAGTTGGTTTTTGCAACTGTGAAATGGAAGCAAATAATAACACCTGCCCACTTCCCAGGTGACATGTGAAAAGAGCCTGTCCAGCAGAGACCGGTTTGGCTCAGTGGATAGAGTGTCGGCCTGTGGACTGAAAGGTCCCAGGTTCGACTCCAGTCAAGGGCATGTACCCTGGTCGAGGGCACATCCCCAATAGGGGGTGTGCAAGAGGCAGCTGGTTGATGTTTCTCTCTCATCTATGTTTCAAACTCTTCCTCTCTGTAAAAAATCAATAAAATATATTAAAAGAAAAAAGAAAAAAGAAAGAAAGAAAGAAAAGAGCCTGTCCAGA